CCATACTTACAAACCTGAAATATTTTCTGTGTTTACTTGGGTATAAAATTTAGCAGTGCCATTTCTTTAAATCTAGGGCAGGACTCCAGACAAAAGAAGGATAGGGACATTTAGACAGAAGTCCAAATCCAAGACAAGGAGATAAAGAATTTAGGGACAATGTTATTTATTCCCTACTTATGAATATATGTTGCCCTTTGCCTAAATATATATATATATATATATTCTATTGAAATGAGAATTCCTTAAACACCTTCTGAAATGATATTTAAACATGTACCTTCCTATAAAAGGAATAGAGATATAGAAGGGGAGAGGCTTTCCTCAGCTGAAGAAGAATGAGTTGTGCAGCTGGTTGAGTTTATCTGTTAAGTCTTGTTTAGATATTTGTGCCATACACTTCACAGTGGATCAGCATTTCCAGTTGTGTATGAAGTAGGCTTCATTCTCTGTTCCAAGTTAAAATCAGCATTATTCCCAATGATGGCCACCACAGCTGCAATGCAGCACAAGTGAAAGAAGAATAAAATCCAGTAATTCAAACCATTCTTTTCCACTAGAGACCCAGAATTTCCTCTGCTTTTTGCCTTTCCTGCTAATGGATTGTCCCTTCCCATCCCATGTTTCTCTAAAAGACTCAGTAATTCAGGTGTAGTTTTAATTATTCACCACTGGGAAGTAAACAAATAAACAGATACCAGTAAGGACTCTTGAAGCTCAGGGAAAAAAAAGTTTAATTAGCATATTGGCATATCCCTGCCTGATATGCCTTACTAACAATACAAAGCAATAACCTCAGGGCAAAAGATAAGTTTTAAGACATGCAAAACCACCTAGATTGTGCACTAAGCAACATGTTAGATATAGGTACATCTATCAAATAAACATACATCTATTCTCCTAAATAACAAAACTTCAGAGACTATTTATAAAGTAAATGTAAAACGAAACAACCATAGTTGAGCAGCATATTGGACACAGAGCATCCTACATGGAGACATTTGACCTTTGGAGGCAAAAACAGTAACAGGCAAATAGCTGAGAGCTAGATCCCCAAATACTTATGAAAAGCTCTCGGTGAAGCCTAAGGTATTATCAGAATGAGGTCTGGAGGATTTTGCTCTTAATGAATAACAATTATGAGTGGGTAAAAATGTCTCTGTCAGTGAGAGTTTTAAATCATGTATCTAAGTTTAATGTTGCTGGTAATCATGAAAAGACGAAAGACTGAATATTGATACAAATAAATCAGTGTGAAGATTTGTAAAACCCTTTAAATGGTGATTATGAAGGAAAATTTGGGATAATGAACATATGCTGAAATAAAAATCAACATGGTTAAAATTAGTAAGTAAATAGTTAAGTTCCTTTGTATCCTAAAGAACAACAATCAGTATTAAGAACTAGGAAAGCAGGAGGAGGACAGATACCTCTTCCTTTACTTTAAAATAAGGGTAATCAGTCCCAGTATCATGTCTCACTATTAAGCTATGTATTTGTGTGTTACAGGACTAGCCATAGGAAAGGAACAGAATATATACACACTTACTGTCAGTGTAAATTCAATGGATCATCTATGTTTTTGTCTGCACGATGCCTAATCATGGGCTCAGTCCACTGACAATACTGGTGAATTTAGTGGGGGAGGACAGGGATGGGGTAAAATGAAGGCTGGGGTGAAGGCAACTCTAACCCTGTATCAGTGTATGACAAGTGCTCTCTGTCACATGGAAGGGGACATGTCTGCGCTGCTGCCCAGATTCCCAGATAACAATGGGCTGAATCCAGGCTGCTACTTCATGCCATAAAAATACTACAAAACTCCCTTCATACCTGGCTGGCGAGCCTGCCCACTGCTGAACCAGTGGGTGAAATATACTATCCCCATTGCAGCTAGCCAGCCTGTACACCCTGAGGCATTTTTGGCCAGAGAGTGATGAAGGGAGCAGCCCCTCCAACGTGAGAACTGCTGTTACATCTGGCAGACACAGCAGGGCTGAGGAGCTAAGAAAGGCAAGTAGAGAGGCGCATCAGCCCTTCTCTTTCTTATGAATCCTGAATCAGATGGGCTTTTTCAGCTCCAATTGCAGAAAAGCAAGTCTGCTCTGCTTCCACAGCATAAAAGCTAGTGGAGAAGATCCTAAAAGACAGCAAGATACAGACAACGAAGTCCTCACTTGGAGACATCCTCCGTAAAACACCAGAAGCAAACAGTGGGTGTTTTATGTCCAGGATTTCTCTATGTATGATGTGGCTGTGGTGGAGTGGCACAGAGAAGCAGGTAGCAAGGAGCTCCACAATCCCTGTGTGCTGTACAGGAAGATGGCTGCCCTAGATGGGTATAGAAATGTACTGGGCAAAGCTTCACATAAAGCAGGTTGCTGCTGCCTACTATTGCCATACCCCAAACACTGCAACAGTACTGTAGCAGAGGCACTCGGGCCACTTACATGTGAAGTACCCAACCTGGCTGTGGGGCAGACACACTGCCCTACACTCGGTGTGCAGGACTTTGACAGAAGAGCCACTTCCAGCTTTGGCTGGGGTTGCAACACTGGATGGGGTTGTAGATAACAAGACGTGTGCTTACTTCTTTGAGCAGTCACCTCCTGTATTTTAACAAATGCATTGTATCCTCAAACAGAAAGATTAATATTAGCTATCAGCAAAGCAAACATTACTTTTTAAAGTTTTGTGACCATACACTTTATTTGTTGTTAGGTTTTTTTTTTTTTTTTTTTTTTGTTGTTGTTGTTGTTGTTGTTGTTGCTCTGGACACAAACCAAGTATCTAGTTACTCTGGTGATTCTAACCTAAATCATGCCACTGACCCAAGAGAGTAACATTTGGCATATAAATAGTATATGCCATATAAATAGTATATTCTTTTCCAGAGGGGCTGAACTACCACCTTCCCTGCTCATTTTAAGATATGGATGCTCAGCATCTTTTAAAAAACCCCATGTCCAATCCTTTGTCGTCCTCTCTGCCCATTTGGGACACCATAGCACGAGCACAGCACTACCCCTGCATATTGCAAGCCTTAAAATGCACTGAATACTTTGAAACACTGAAGAACCAGTACACACATAATAAAGCACAAAACAACAAACTGTAAAAAGAGTTAAGTGAAGAATTGTACCCTGTAACAGTAACAACATCAAGGAAGTTCGGTAAAATAGGGTACAGGCAGATAAATCAGCAGTTAATAGCACACAACAGAGATGCCAACTGGCATTGACAGTTGTTATACATTTTTGTTTTTTTTTAACACAGGAACAATAAAACAAAGTCAAAAAATCACTTTTTGAATCACATCTCCCACTGATTCTTCATTACTTCAAAGTGTTTTGTAAAACTACTGGATGGTAGCTGCTTTTGTACAGAAAACACACAGTAAGTTGGTTTTGTGGTCCAAATAAACCATGCTGCTTTTTTTTTTTCTTCTCCATACCATGCACTGAGATGCAATCAGCTTCTTGTCAGTCATTAGTGAAACTAACAAGCATATTTTTGACAATACAGCTTCTGTAAGTATAATTTTCCATTCATTTTTGCAGCAGTCATTAGAATTACTTAAAATGTTTCTGGAATTTCCTTTTCTGTTGCTGTCTTCTGTTCTAATCAAGGAATTTTCCAGTATTTGCAATGCTCCTTTATGCAGTTATTTACAATGGGATTGTCCTTGTGGTGAATCACCCTAATGAAATTTACAGCGGCTAAGGTACCTTTATAAATGCTAGCAGTTACACTCAGACAGAACGAATGTAATTTATTGTGCATCTCTGGGCTGGGCCAGCAATACAATTAAAGTGCAAATAAAGATAAAACCCACAAGCCAGGCAGATCCTTTTTTCCTTGCCAGTGTTAAGAAGCATCATGACTGTGGTAAGAAATGTCAGATCAAATAGGCCTAGGTCACAATTTATTTTAAACATCTGTCTCCCTGAGAGGATTTAAGGGAGGTATACAATGATATAGCCCTCTTTCTTCAACTGGCTGAATATCATTGGAAAAGTAAGGACACTTTTCCAGCCAATTTTTTTTTCATCAGTACTAATAACTCTGTTTTACACTCTGATGCACTTTACAGCATGCATTTGAGCTCACTTTTCATGCAGCTACAACAGGCCACTTTTTATCAGGAAAACTCAGCAAGTACCAACTAGCTGTAGAAAAGACATCTATCTACCTGGTATGTCACAAAAGCATAGGCTTTGAAAACATTTACAAACAGCACATTTTCTTAAACGTATGCAAATAATAATTCCTAGCTCAGATTGTTTGCTGGCATTTGAAGCTTGCCACCAATATGAACAATTTTAGAGCTAAGTCAGTGCCGAGTGGCTGAACAAAAAAACTAGACATTTTCAAACCACTGATTCCACCTGAAATGAAACTGTCACTCCAACTCATAGTGTTCACAGCTGATCACTACCCATTGCCAGACCAGACATGTATTTCTCTCCACAGTGTATCCAGAAAGTGCTCTGTAGCCTGACTTGTCAAAGAAGCTGCAGGAGGTGCAGAAAAATAAATTGTCTTTTCCAGGGCTGTGTGCAACCTGACCAACCATCCCGTTCACTGTATCCCTGGATTTCTCGAGTCTCAGATAGAGCTCCTAACCTTGCATTTCCAAGCTGAAGCTTGCAGGGCTGGCAGCTATTTACAGTCATTCAGCTAGTCCATTTGCTTTTCATGCTGTAAATACTTTCATTCTGTATTAATGAAAAAAAAAGTATTTACAATTCATTTGTAAATCAGTCTCCTTAGAAAAGGCTGTCAGGATATTAAAAGAAGATAACATTTTATAAAGGGTAGCATTAAATGTACAGCAGGTGTTTTGAATAGCTGCAGATCTGAAGATAATAGATGCTGTTTTCATGTCACTCCAAGAGAGCAGATGACTGTTAAGATCCCGTTTTTTCAATGAAGTTAGCACTATATGAGGACACTACCACAACTGCCTCAGTGAACATACAGTTCAGACCATATCACAGACCATATCACAGCTATCTCATTTTTCTCATTTATCTTAATATACCTGAGTATATTACTAACCTTTAAATATGTACCATTAATTAGTCACTTAAGATGGCTACAGTTAGTACCCATTGACAGGGAGGTCTCCTATTTTCCATTAAATGCATAGTCCCTGCTGCAAAACATTATCTTTGTGAAGCAGCAATCCATTAATCCAGGTAGGAAGTATCTTTGTCTTCCACCTCAGTGCTCATTTTCATTGCCTGAGAGGGAAATGCTGTGAGGCTCTGTATCTCTTATTGGAAAAGAGAGCTTGTATTCTTCTCAGTATTTCCCTTGTCTTTAGGACATAACATACACTATTTTGTTCATTGTACTAAAGCTTTCTGCAGAGCCTGAGGCAAAGCTGGCTCTTCAGGCAGGGAGTCTGGGTTCAATCTTTAGGGAAAGCTCATATAGGGTGTCTTCATCTATGATGAGAGTCTTGTCAAGTAAATAGTGAGTGACCTGTCGTGGAGAAAACACAGATGAACAGACTCTGTAACTTCCACAAAATTTTTCTGTTTTCTTTTTCCCCTTCAGCCCATTTTGGATCCTGACATCCCCCCATGTTGTCTTCTTGAGAAACGCAACACAAATCTTCACCAGCAGCATTCTATAAATTAAGCAGAGGCTCCTAGAAACATTCAAATCCTTAGCCAGGTTACCTAAGCCCACGTTCCTCTTCTGGAGCCTGAGATGAAATCTCTGAAGGCATAGCTTTGGGCAAGTTTTCCTCATTCCCAAAAGGGACAAGGGGAGAAGAATTGCAGGATGCACACAGCATCAGCAGATTCTGAGATTCTGTGGGAATTAATATTCCAACTGGGCAGGTAGAACACATTTGCCTTTGAAAACACTGCCTCATACCCCAGAACCACGAAGGCCGCAATCCTGACAGATTTTCCAGAGAAGGAGAAAGTTGCTTCTATATACAGTGTCAAACAAAGAGTTTCTGGCAGGGTTAGAGTATTACAACCCCAGAGTACCCATCCATATTTCTGTATATCTTTCCTGTGTGCAGGAGCAGAATACATTGACTTTAGCTTTCAACAACAGCTGTATCTTACAACTAATTGTTGCCATATCTTTGATTTCATCAGGAGGTAAAAGTGCTTAAGAAGAGCCTTACCTTCTGCTGATGCTCTATGCGGTAGGATGTCTGCTGGAACTGGCGTATTTCCCTGATAATATGCGAGATCTTTCAAAAGAATACATATATATGAGTAAGTACAACTGCATTTTGACTTCAGCTAAGCCACCAGAAGATGGTGACAGAAGACTGGGTGAAGTAATTGCTTTCAAATAGCTGCATGATTCCAATATACTTGTATGTCTTAGAAGTTAAATTCCAGAGTTATTATTAAATCAATAATTAACTCACAAAAATAATCACATGTTGGGAAAGCATACAAGGAATCAAAAATTACCATTCTCATTTTGGAAAAATTTACAAGGCCTTCCTCAGTGAAGTTTGGTGTTCCTTCTTCAATAAATGCCAGGTCTGTTAGGTACATTCCAAGGTAGGGAACGGCAGGTGGGTTACAACTGCGAAACAACAAATCAGCATATTAACCTGTAGCTAAATTTGCAAACTATAATTTTATAACTCACACAAACTCTTTATTACTTAACATATTTCTGATCAATGAGTTACATTAATTCCTAAGACATCTTCCTTGATTTCATGAGTTGTATTTGCTCTGCCCATGAAAAATTGTATGTGTTCTGTCCAATATCTAGTATTAGTGGCAGATGACCTTCAGTAAAAGGTAGAACCATGTTGGAGTGAGAGGAACGACAGGTAACCTCTGGAATGAGAGAACACCCTCAAGTATATTTCAATCCTGACTGACACACAATCTCAGAAATAGATCCCACAAACATGCTAAAAATGCATGTGGACATGCTTCTGAGCGGTTGATGTTCTGCAATAGTGTAAGCATCCTAGAACAGTAAGAGTACATGTATGTGTGTGTGTGTGTTGAGCATGTCCATAAACATATGGAGATGTACATATATATAAATGTGTATATATATATATGCATATATATACATGTTTATACATACGCATATGTATGCATATATGCATGTAGATACACATGTATGCATCTGTATACATATGTATATACCATGCTGTCAAAGTCTATTCAGGCTTTCTCAACAGTGGATGCACAGAACAAAGAGAAAGATAGAGGGATAGCAAAGATGATCTGGAAAACTAGGAATACTGAACATAGAGAATAGGGGTTTTATTGGAGGGACAGGAGGAATGGGATAATGATTGTTTCTTTCCTAATGCAGTAATCACAGCTCCATGTTCAATGACTCTTGTCTCAGCAGAAATAGTAGAAAAAGGATTTCTGAAGCTCTGCCATAAGAAGAATGCAGAGTGATGGCTCTACTGTTAACTTCGGCAGACAATGCTTAGCAGTGCACTTCACTCTGGTTATTTTTTAGATTACAAGTATTATTGTTGTACACAGGCAAGCAACGTATTAACTGAAAGGTTTATAAAAATACCTCTTCGTTTTACTAAAAAAAAATTAAAAAGCCATTAGCTCCCCAAAAATATATGTATCTTTAAACATTCCAGTAATTATTCTAGTAGATCAATTCTTTGCTTCTCTCAAGATCATTTTAAGTAGTGATACCACTCAATCCTGAAAAGCCTACTTCTAATTATGAAACTTGCAAAAATACAAGTTTTCTATGCATGCTGCTGGGGTAGAACCCTTGCCACAGGATATTTTGGGTACCAAAGTTACATACGGTCAAGTGCAATTTGGCATATATATTAAAGAAAATAATACCCAAGCATACTGAATAAAAAAAGCAGATTGTTTTCCAGGGAGCTGGGTGGCTATAAAAGAGGAAATACTGTTGTGCATTAGTCTTATTGTTATGTTCCTCTTATCAGCTACTCTCCACAGTCAAAAGCAAGATAAAGGGGTGAATAGATCTTTGATCTGACTCAGAGGTATTCCTAAATCTTAAACTTCTTATCTTGAACAAGGACTCTTTGGAACCCTGTTTTTAAATATGGCTTCACACATATTGAAAAAGTTTATTAGTGGAAGAAAACCCCCAACAGGGAACAACATTCACACAGAATAACAGTTTAATTTGCTTCAGTAATTCTCTGGAGATATTATATTTATCTACAATAATGCCAAATAGAACAAAATTAGAATTTCAGAACTTACTAGATAAAAATATTACCCAATATTATATTAATTATTAAAGATTAATCAAAGCTAGTTAATCTTTAACATGTGCTATCCATTGCTTATAACAAACCACAATTGTCTAATGTAGGGAAGCATACTTTTTGAGCATTTCTCTAAGGTTTTTAAATCTTCCTTCAGATGATACAGTCTTCTGAAGCTTGTCCATGAGAGCTTTTGTCTAGAAAGAAAATGGATTACAAATGTCATTGCTGTTGCACATTAATGACTGGGATTAGATTTTAGAAAAGCTGTAATTCACTTAGGATTTGACCCCATTTTCAAAAGTAATAAGATAGGCGTTATAAATTTAGCTTTGCTGTAGTTCCCAGGATATTTCTGAAAATGGAGGTTATGCAGTATTAAAGATTTTTCCTTTGAGTGATCCACAGAACTTGTGTCTATGCTGATATTATTAGCCTGCAAATTCAGGAAAAAAACAAGTTCATAAATTAATGGCCAGCAATTCAGTTTACTGTGTATACAAGAATATTAGGGACTTCATCTTACATGCTGCTGAGGATCCTCAGCTGCATTTCCTGAAATTAGTGACAGTAAAGGATGTTTTCTGTCTTGCAGCTTGTACTAAGATGGTTTTGCCTCCAAGTTTCTGATAAAAGCTGAATAGGTATTTGAAAATACATTACTGTCTTACACCAATTACTTTCAGTGGGCATCATCAGAGCCTGGTCACTTAACAAGTGAAACAAATTTGCCTTTTCAGTCAATTTATGCTTGAAATAATATACAGAATCATGAGAAATTTGTTGGTTTTCAAACTGAATTTCGAGTTAAGAGAAAGCTGTAGGCTGAAACAGACACTTCCTTTTTTTTCTAAATAGCAGGCTGATGAAACAATCAGATTACATTTCCAATGAGTACTGAAGAACTGTGCAACAACGTTAATCTGTCTTTTTTTTATTCTTACTTGAGAAGTTTAAAAATCAAACAAATTCTAAACATAAAACTTTTTCAAGGTAAACTCTTACATAACATTTTGTATTGAAAGGACTTCTAATATTTTTGTTAACAAAAGAATATAGCACCAGCTATAAAACATCTGAGAAAAAGCTGGCTGGGGAAGGCAGGATATTCAGAATGTATTTTAAATGGATTTCATTGCTTGGGTTGCCTTAGTGCTTTGCAAAAGCTGCAGACAGAGCAAAAGCATAGAGGAGGAAATGCAACAAAAAAAGCCCACCTTTTACATGTCAATTAGCCAGATCTAAAATGGGCAATTTGAAATAGCTGGAGTAAACTCTGTGTCCAAATACTACCTGATTTACAAGTGACTTGCTCTGTCCTACTGACTTCCTTGCTCTGTTATTCCATCATACTAAAATATTCACTTTTTTCTTATTTTATTTTATTTTTAATAGCAGAAAGCTGAGTTTTAAGTAATTCAACAAATTTATTTAAACCATTTAAAACAGAGCTACTATTGGCTACTATTTTAGTCACCTGATCTGACTTTAGCTATAGCTAATAACCATCTACATATATGTATCTGAAAATATTTTGATTTAGTTTTCATTACTTCAGGCCCAAGTAAAAGTCTTAGGCACCTGCTAAGTCCATTGAAATCCATTTGTTCCCACAGATAATTGATGATAGTAAAAAAAAAAAAAAAAAGGATAAATGAAATACAAAAGACCTTGACATAAAATACCAAGACCACCTGGTGCTTCAAGCAAATAGAATAATGTAAAAGTGTAAATATTATGAGAGGAATACTAGCTCAACACATTCTCTGAGCAACACACTGACCAGTGAAATCCAGAAATCCTTCTTGTAATCCTGTTTTTCTTACCTGTTTGGATACTTTACCCCAAGTTTTCTTAAGTCTGTAGATTGCACTTCTGTTCAAGGCTGAGGTGATTTCTAACACACCATTGTAATTGTGCATACATCGACAAATATCAGCTACTGCTACCCACTTTTCAATTGAGTTAGCACGGGAGCTAACATCAGCATAATTCATGATTTGGGAGGCAACAAGGTTACTCATCTGGCCAAAGAAAGAAGAATAAATTTAGGACATTTACATATATTATCTCTTTCAACATATAATCGTTTAACCAACAAGGCAGAAAAACCTAATGTACAATGGAACTAATGACTCTTAATAAAAACAGAGGAAATGTATTGAGAACAGTGTTGTAGAGAAGTGTGGGAGAATGAAGATATGAAAGGGTAAGAGATGCAAAGGGGGGTATCTCCAAGCCAACAGTACCAAAACTGATTGGGAAGTCTCTCAGTAAAATTCACAGAAAATGGTAAATGAGCAAAGATACAGTTGGGGATACAAAGGGCATTCATTAAATAGAATCAGTGCTATATTTTTACATTCTGGAGAAAATTAGTTTCTTCTGTAAGCAAAAGGGCATAGTAGTACCATCTAAAACACTCTATTAAATTGCCATTGAAACGCTGACTACCAGTACTTGAAAACAAGAATTTTTGTGTGCTTTGTTTTAAAAGGTTAATCACAAAAAGACTGTAATAGTCATTACTAGATAAGAAGCTATACCACATTGTAAAAATAATAAAAAAAATTTTTGTTCCAGAGGTCATAGAGAGTGTTATCAGGGGTCCTAGAAAGCAATGTCTATTTAAAAAGTACTTACATCATTAAAATGTTGACTAGTTTTCATAATATAGGGCGTTCTCTCATTTTTATCCATTTTCATCCAGCCCTGCCCAAGAAACTCTCTAGATATTTAGGGGAGAGAAAAAAACCAAACAAAAATGCACTTAATAAACACAGTACAGAGTCTCTGTATGCAATGATAGCCTAAGTGGATTTTAAATATACCTCATTTTGTTAGAAACTAGTAACATCATAGCTTTAAACCAATTCTATCACTTTTAATGCTGTCTAAAGCAGTAAATATTATAAAGAAGCTCTAATTTTCTTTTAATCCCCTTCCTCATCCCCCCATTCTAATTTTCAGTATTGTGACCCTACTGAAATTGTTCTTGTCAGTGGATGTGGTTATATCCATGTTAAACTGCTGTATGTAAGAATTCATCACTTCCATACTATGTTCACTCCTCACTAGCCCAGAGCCTTAGACCAGAGGGTTGTTTTTTTTCTTAGCAAAGAACTCAGTCTTTCAAAACATGGTCAAACTATACGAAACCAGAGGCAATGACACAAACAGCCAAAGGACATTATCTGTTAAGTATGCAAATCTTTTTGCCCATAGCATGTATCATTGTAGTGCCTAAGACTGCCAGTCAGCAACTCATCCAACATACTCACTTCAGTTACTTGTAGGAGAACACTTACTCATAGGGTATGCTTCGGAAAACTATATGATCTAGAAGAGTTATTTGCTCTGCAAGCTCCATGGCTGACAAAGTCTCAAAGCACTCTGGTTTTGGGCAATCTGACTGCAAAAATAAGGAGGACACTTAATGACCTTGGTTTGCATCAAAAGACATTTCAAAACACAGGGTATTAAGAACTTCACATGAACTTTCAACATGGAGTTGTAATTAAGTTCCTTGCTACAAAGAAATAAGAAGTAAGAAAAAATGCTAAGAACGTAAGGGGAAATATTCAGACTGGAAACTCATACAAAAAGACACCTACCAAGTCATGAGTATCCATATAGGTTAATTAGAGTCTGTGCATTCTGCATTCATTTTCACATAATCACTTTGCAAGTACCTCCTTTTTTTTTTTTTTTTGTCATTCTATCGTTTGATTTAAATCCAAATCCTAAAGTTTTAACCTGTTCATCTATGATATTCTGACTATCTCGAAACTGAACTGTACATTCCTGATATAAAATAACAGTATTTCTCTCCATAGCTGTAAAGTTCCAGTTGTGCTACATTTTATTGCCTTATTCACACAACATTTCTATAGCAGGATTTAATATAATGTTTAAATTTCAAGATAAACTTACCATCTGAATGATATTCTCTATTTTTAAGTGGGTATCATCTTGATCATCTTGTGAAAGAGTCCTGAAAAATTAAGTAGCACAATAATCTTAAGTAGAAAAGAACACAAATAAAATTGCCTATGGTTCTGAGAAAACCAAATAGGCAAGCATATTTATCTAAAATAAATCCTAAGACTGCAGCTGAAGAGGTTGAAAGAAAAAAAAAAAAAAAATCTGGTACCTAAAATCTCACGTCTCGTTATAAGTAAAAGTAGTAGTTTTACCTTAAATGACATTAGAGTAATGTAAGGTAAAAAGATGGCCATAAAGGCTCAAAAATCTCTGAGCTAAGAACACCATATACTATAGAATGGTCAATGACAATAGCTACTGTATGTACATGCTGATTACAGTGATAAGGTTTCTAAATCTATCCCACTTCGGCTTTAGTGCAAAGAAGTTTGGTGGACAAAGTAAAACTTCCTTTTCAAGAACTGGACTGACAACGCAAAAACACAACACAGCGAGAATAACATGTGATCAGAAGCCCTCTATTCAGAATAATCCAAGGAAACCTAAAGGTGAAGAATTACATCTCAAGCCTTTTCTCTGATTTTTGAACTACTGTGCTAAAGGGAAATTTTAAAAGAACCCAACATTTGAGAAGTGAAGAAAAGACAGCAACATGGGCATGCATATAAGAGTGATTCACTGGGAAGTGTTCTTTTTTATTGGCACTACACCGTCCTATTCAGTGTCCCACACAAAGAGCTGTGAGTGTGGATATAGACAACAATCCACTGGCAGATTTTACTTGTAGCAAGTACATGGTTTGTGTTCAATAATAGAAGTGAAGAAAGTTATGACAGAAAGCAAGGGTAAGGAAAGATTCTGCTGGACTGTTTAACAGCATCCCTGTCAGGCAGGATTGAATGGGATGACACTTCCATTGTTAACCTTACAAATGAAGGAAGTAAATACATATGAAATAAGTTTCTAATTCTTAGAGTCAGCAGCTAAGACTAGACCTCTGTCTCACTTAAACTGGTCATGTCTGATCAGTCCAAATATTAAAATAATTTTCTGGTGGAAAATATTAACATCTGTCTCCTCACTCCATTACATTACATAAAACATTTTGAGAGTATTTTAAAAGCTGGTGTAAGTTACAGAGCCTGAAATGTATTGTCTAGTGAGATCATACAAGGCAGAAAACTGGTCATTCATCTGCATATTCATTCTGACATCTTCATATCTCTAGATTTCATTTACATTTATTCTGAGGAAGAAAAAGGAAGAACTGTTTCTTGAACCACCTTTTTTTTTTTTTTCCTCCAGATAAGAGTATTTATCAGTTATTCACTGCTGTATAGTCTGAACTTTACACCTTCCTGTTTCATCATCAATGAAATTTTAGCTAGATTTTAGGAGTTAGCAAATAAGACTGGTAAAATCTCAAGCAAAACATACTTCAGTAGGTTTGCCTAGCTTTCAGAATGGATATTTAATAAAAAGAAGCTTTTTTACCCTGCAGAGAAATCCTGTCAGTCCATTCAACAAGAATCTTATCATGCAAGAAATACTAGTTGTTCTGCTGATGATTCAAGAAGGCATGAAGCAACTCAGTACCTCTTATAAACACTTTCCTTGCCATTCACATTTTATACAGAGTCTTTCCCAGAGCTGACCATATAATCTCCGTAATACAAACCAACGTTGTCTCCTTCTCTAATCTCTGCTAACAAAGGGACTGATTTCCCAAGAAATTTATATGCACATATGGACCCATACACTCAGTTTGTAAAGAGACATTTAAAGCCAGTATCTTTCAAGGACACAGTCCATGGAATATACCCATACATAGGAAAGCACAGACTTTCTTTCGCAAGTGTTTGAACACTGAATTTAAGATAAGAAGTGCTTTTCCTGACCTCACTCTGAATTACTCTACTTATCAGAGTTGAGAGTAGACTGTGAAAACTGAAATGCAGGGAAGCCAAGACTGAGGGTTGACTCGCAAACCAGAATTCTGATAGACTGCATGTTTCAATATGCCAAGGCCTTTTAAATCTCAAAGCCTGCACCAAGCATCTCAGAACAACTAAAAAAAGCCTATTCTATGACACTCACCAAGCAATTTGGTGAATTGGTATTTTCATGAGGGGCATGTCAACTGTCTCACCCCTCCTTCCCATTTTCATCCCATTCCAGAGAAGCCCTCTGAGTTGATGTTTCATCAAAGCTTCCAGTTACAACAAATTTGTGCTTTCATGTGGAAAACATGCTTTCAAAAATATTCAAGTTGATTTCTACTAAAAGTAAAAAAGCCCTTCAGTTTTAAGTGGGTAACTTACATTTTTTCTTTAAGTAGTATTAGATGGAAGCCCTCCATCTAGAAGAAAACCAATCAGACAGTGTATTTCCACGGAGGAGGGTATGTGGTGATGATGGAGTGAGAAGCATTTCTCCAAACCAAAAAATTGGTACGTGAACCAAAAGAGGAACACAGTATCTGGTGCACCTTTACACATTTCTATAACAAAGAAGATTCTAGATTCCTTTAGGATATCCGGGGTGAGATTCACATCCTCTGCAAGTCTCTGAGTGTGTTTCGTCTGAGAAAGAAAGGTGTTTTCTATGATCTCTGGAGGAACAGTCAAGAGCCCTAACTTTAGACAATTTGGGTGGACAGAATCTCCTTCATGATAGGCAGTTACCTTGGAAGAAGTGCTTCATTAGATGCATACAGTTTGTCTCATGCTCAGGTGCTTCAGTTAGCCACCAAAGAATTTTTTCTAAGACAACATAGAGAGGAAACCTCTTTCCCCTTACTGTCATTATAACCTATGGATGGTTCAAGGAGCAAGAAATTATTTTATTCCATTACAGGCCTTGTCTTAACATTCAGAACATGGACTGTACTCTGCCATGTTGGTAAAAAATAGAAAATCAGTAATCTGATGCAGAACAAAGAAAACAATTATATGAGAGATATAATGGTGTAGAACATGGTGCCTCTTCACGTCTTCATGCAGTATGAGAACGTTTGCTTAAAGCTTAGCAGTTCTTGGTCAAGAGGAATATAGCTTTGGTTGTCCCTCCTACAAGATTCAGGGACAAGTAACAGAACTCTCCCAGCTTAGGCAAAAGCATGTTCAGTGTTCGTTTTGACCTACTTCTACAATGAGCCGTGGCACCATGGGAGGCATCAGGCAAAAATGGCAGGGAAAGAACCATTTCCATGTCACTATGTCTTCTTTTTGCACATGAAGCATTATCTTCATTTTTAGCATAACTATAGAAAAAACTTTGCTCTTCTGGCAACAGAAACCTGGTTGCTAACTGGATTCTTAAAACTGTATTGTCAGACAGGATGTATGCATGCAGATGTTGTCTCTTCTGCTTATGTATGTTTCTCATTCTTCATGAAATCAGTTCCAGAATTGAGCAAGAAACTTTTCAAACTGCCAGAAAACCTAAACCCTCCTGATAAAAACTAGTACTCAGTTTTATGTTTTGGATTACTAAAAAATTAAGATTTCAAAGAGCAGCCTGGAGATGGTTCCACCTCTGAATTCACTAACAAGCTGAGAAACTGGAGGACCAGAGGGACTCCTGCTGGATGCCCATTACCTGAGATGATTCCTGAGGCAGACAAAAGTTTGTGTTTAATTCTCCATGGGACAGCAGGTCCAAGACTAGCAACTTGGTCAGCTGTTTTTTTTTAAAACTTGTTAAATCTTTGTATTTCAATAATGTGCAATAAAAATGAAGGCTTGTGGAATAATAAAGGGATATGTACCTGTGTCACTGCCACAGATACACAGTTTCACACAGTTACATTCAACTGCAGATTATTCCTTAAATCCTACAATTTGCACTTCTTATTTACTTATATATCATTGTTCAGAGTATATATCTCTTGAAGTAACTACAGTGGTTTTTTTAAGTTTGGAAAGCTTGACTAATTACCAGAAAACCCGTTTTCCTGAGATGATTTAGGAAGCAGAGCTACTCCTTTCAGTGAAAAGGCGAGATGTACATTTGTATATTTCACCTCAGCTGAATGATTTTTTTGTCCAAAACCAGAATTGCTCCAATACACTCTTTCTCACAAGGTCACTGAGGCAGTTCCTACTCATGGAGAATTAATTTCTTTACCATCTGTTAACAAATATGACATGCCTAGTAAATAACTGCCTCCTGTGTGGCTGTTGAGGGAGTCCAAGCCTTCAGGTTACAGTTTTGCTCAGCATAAGACAGTTTGATTTATATGACAATAGTTTGAACTTGGAGACTATCCTGATGACTGCAGTTTAACAACAGCTTAAATTATGAAAGTGTTATTTATGCAACAGCTTCTATCTAAAAGTTTATTTATGCAATAACTCTTACTTGAAAGTTTATGGGCAGTTTGCATATATATAATAAACATATGGAGAGGACACAGGAGTAATTTCAGCAGCTACTGAAACACGGTACTACTCAAAATGGAACAGAGTTGTTTTTTGAACCCTTTGGACAGCAATACTGTGTCATCGATGCTTATTGGAGTTAGTGTTGAAATAATATCGAAATAGTACTGAAATGTAGTTGAAATTATTGTACATTTCAGTTGAATATTACTGAATATTGTTGAAATAGTATTGAAATATTTGACAAAAAAGCTGTCCGCATGCAGGTATGTTATCAGCATTGCCAGTCTTGAAAAGCAATAAAGGATTTTTGGTAAGCAATGTCAGCCAAGGCTTAAATTTCATGCCTAATTTTGAAGGAAGTGGGACATCCATGCTGCATTCAGTCAAAAGGTCTAGTCCCATACCAGAGCCACCAGTGTCTCTTTTAACAGTGCTATCTTGTGGGATGTAACCAAGTACTTATGACTCTGTCTGACCAAATCTACAGTCAAATATGTTGTTCAAAAAATCTGGCAGGATTAGGGTATGCAGCTGCAGACCCTGATGAAAGATGGCTTGGCTGAGGACTGTATCTGAGGAAATCTTCATTCTCTACCTGTTTCCAACAGAAACCTCCACTGGTAACTCAGACACGTCATTTTATTCATGCTTTACTTGTCTGCTTGTAAAGTAGAATGCCATAATCCTTTCCAGAAATACTGTCAGGATAATGACTATGAAACAAGGATTTTAAAAAGTGCAATCTTTTTCTATAAATTGTTTCAAATGAGTTAATTTTTACTTGAATTTCTGTGCATACATTTTTTCATTTTTACTAAAATTTTATTTTTGAGTATTGTTTCATTTCACTTCTTCCCTTTGCTTTTTATTTGCCTCATTTCTCAGTTTAAAAATGTAACTTTTTTCAGATTTTTTTTTCTCTTAGATTTCCCTGTCGTGTCGTGTCGTCCGTCCGTCCCCCGCCCCCCCCCAAAAAATAATATAGTGTGAAAATTCACAGTGTGGTCAAAAATTCAGTCTGAATTTTTTAAGTTCTAAAAACTGTTAAATGTAAATATCTGATTAACTGTATTCACTATAGAGTGTGCTCAGATAGTAATAAGTGCTAGAAGAGAAGAGAGGGCAATCAATACCTAGAATAGCAGTAAAAGGATGCAAACAGGGGCAACTCACATTTTCCACATAATTACCAAGGTTCCACACATTTGTTCCATTACTCTGCAGAACAGCCAATCCAGGTTTATTTTCTCATATTTTTAAAGAAGCTAAAGGCCTTAAGGTAATTCTCCCCCACTGTGAGCTATCTGACAGAACCTTTGCTGTCACACATATTAATAAAACCCATTATACTAACCCTTTTTGCTCTTTTTGCTTGCTGTTTCTTTCATCGAAATACAAGAAAAAACCTCACTATTTTTACTTGGAATAACAGCACATGCAGTATTACTAAAATGGAGGTTTATTTTTATTTAAGTGAAAATTAAGTAGAATCCCATTAAGTGCTTCCATTAGGAACTTATCTTTATTTCTTATCCTTTGACTTTTTCCCCCACAGCTGAACACATTTCCCCTCACTCTTTTTCATCTAAGTATCTGGTGGAGAAACCTGTCAAGTGATCTTAGAAAATTCAGACACTGCATCTGCTGCACTCTTATTTTTTTTTCTGTCAGAATACTTACATATATACTACAATGCACATCATAGATACATCTGTGTTTTAAAATCATATATTTTAATAACTGATTAGTCTTTAAATGTTTACTGCTCCTTAGTAATGTGGAACAATTTACATGAAACTCAGTGTCTCTAAAATATCTGCACTTAGTAGATGGAATTGTTTTCACTGAAAAATGCACAAAGATTTGTCTTTTTGGCATGACCAGACACTCACTTCTGTAATATCAACCCTAAGTAACGAAATAAGGTGTTCTATACCTAATTTAAATAGCCCTAGTTATGCAGAAGCTTAAAGGTCTTCTATTTCATGGCATTAATTAAACAAGAATTCTTCTCTGTAAGCTATCTGAAGAACTCTGGACACAGTGTCAACACAAAGGAGAGTGCAAACATGGTCTCGTTAGGATGTCATGACATCCTAACATGATGGGCTATCATCACCCTCTCATGAGCTTAGCAGATTGAACCCGTGGCTGCCAGCTGTTCTGCAGCAGAATTTTCTAAAACGGTATTTTTATGACCAAATCTTAAAACACTCTGTCTTATAGCAAATAAAACACTTTATAGCTAATAAAATACTTTAAAATTAAAAACTCTGGAGAAAAAACAAACCCTGTGTATTCGATGATACATGTTCCCCTAACTATTTCACATGTTATAGTTAACACACTAAATTATTAGAAACTTATTTACCTCAGTATATTTGCAGTAGCTTTTCTTTCTTGTGGCAAAAGGTCAGGGTCTCTCAAAACTTCTTCCAGCAAATTTAACACATTCATTTTCAGTTCATTGTTCAGCTCAAAATCCTACAAAGGAAAACAATTTTACTCCCTTTTGTCTGACCAATATTGATCAAAAAACTGAAAGCATATACTTCTGTGCATTTTGCCTTTTTTTTCTTTTTTTTCTTTTTCCCTGTAAGTTTTGAAAATATTTAAAGAAAATTGGAAAGCTGTTGCAATGAACAGGCCACAGAGGTATAAGCCCTGAAAGGCTGTAATTTATCTCATTTTCCAACCTTTATCTTGTGTGTAGAAATGGGGAAATCACTTAATCTTTGTCTTCTGCAGTAAGAACTACCATCTCACCAATACCCACAAAACACCTTGCTCTCTCTTATCCTGTGATGACTATAAAAGCAGAAAAAAAGTTTAATTGCAATACTGAGACCACTGCCTACTGAAGCTAGATACTGTGATTTATTTTGGATTTGGTTTTTTTTTTTCACTGTTTTCCTGGGTTTCTCTGTTTTTTTGCCTCCCACTCTGGTATTTTTACCTGATACCATTTTGTAATGGTCTGCTTTTTGTTGTGTGCAGTGAAATACTAAACCTAATAAGCTTGATAAATCAGACTAGTGCTCTCTGGCACTGCACTTAAGAACTTTGGCATTTTAATGACTTTTGAGACAGACTGATGCATCACACAGGACTGCAATTGAAGAGCACTAGACAAAGCAACCACAGAATCATGGAATCCCAGACTGGTTTGTGTTGGAAGGGACCTTAAAACTCAGGTTTGCTCCAAGCCCTGTCCAACTTGGCCTTGAACACTGCCAGGGATGGGGCAGCCACAACTTCTCTGGGCAGCCTGTGCCAGGGCCTCACTGCCCTCACAGGGAAGAACTTCTGCCTAAGAGCTCATCTCAATCCCCCCTCTGTCAGGTTAAAGCCATTCCCCCTTGTCCTGTCCCTACAGGCCCTTGTCAAAAGCCTCTCTCCAGGTTTCTTGTCAGCTCCTTTTAGATGCTGGAAAACTATTATAAGGTCTCCTAGAATCACTCCTGTTGGTAAGAAAAGCAAAGAATAGAACAACGTACAAGCTTTAAGGTGAGAACTTGCTGGCAAGTCTTGGAGTAGACTCCAAAACTGCTTTTATTTGGCTCAAAGTTAGCATTTCAATAAGTAAACTAAATCCAAACCTTCAGTCATCTAGTGCATCACAGATCTTCCTTCATAATCCACAGTTACTTTAAAGCAGGACAGTGTTCGTGGTGAGCTTCTGCTTGTTTCCATGGGAACACAAGCCATGAAATTACTGAAAATGGGAAATACTTGGCTCCTCTGTGCAAGAGCTGTGTATTTCATTTTCCCGAAGAACCAGCTACAGTGCTTCTGTTGCGACAGGCTCCTGTACTGACAGGATCCCTGGAGATGCATGCCTCTGGGGAGAACCACCCCTGTTGAAGACACATGTCCTCTCACCACAAGCTTCAATGGAGGGGATGTGTGAGCATCAGAGCACACCCCAAGTCACAAAGTGATGCTTGTTTCGGAAAAGTGATGAAATGCTTAAGAGGAGGAGAAGGAACTATGTTCATTAAAGAAGGTGGTGTCACAGCTATACTGTGACATGTCAGCTCAAAACGCTCATGTCAGCCACACCCTGGGCATTTCTCTCCTGTTACAAGCATCCCCTTTTCATTCTTCAAGTCTTCTCACCTTGACAACTGCTAATTCATATTTTGAAACCAAGATACGTGTCTTCTGGTTTTTTTTGTGATGTTTGTCCATATTAGAGAATATTGGAGAACAGGAAGCTGTGCAGTATCAGGCTATGGATGGGTTATAAGGTACAGCCCTCAAAGCCAAGCAAGAAATAGTTCTGGGTATTCCATTGTGTTTGTTTTATAAAACACATTTTCTATAGCCATAGTCAAAAATGACTCTCTTAGGAAATGTTTTAGCCTGTTTGCAAAAAGAAGACAGAGATTTTTGTTTGTTTTGGGTATGGTAATTGGAAATATTTCATTACTGAACGCATGAGGAATGCAACCGAAGTACCTGAGAGCACTGTTTGCTCCAGTGATTTCAAAAAGAAAAACATTTGGAATACGAAACTATCAAAATTTAGCTGAAGGAGAAACCTTGAGTCTGCACAAGCTTAAGCAGCAAGTGTAATTAATATTAGCATTGTCTACTCTAAAGCTTGATGGTGAACGCTGCATAAAAGAAGTTTGGTATCTTTGCTAGTTGTGCTACAAAAGTATCATAAATGGACAGAAAAGGTATCCAACTCTAACATCCCCATTCAGCATGCTAGGTCAAATGTTTGGTAAAATTCTCTACCTGCCACTGTAAATGTGCAGATATAGAAGAAAATGACAGCTGATGAGTTAAGTAAGAAGTCTGCCTTGCAGACACCTAGGATAAGAATAGGATGTGTGCTGTTCCCAACTGATCAAAAGCAGTGAGGACCATGTTCAGTACCACTTAATGAAGTTTCCAGGAGTAGAAGTCTGCAGCAACAGACAGAAGCATATTAATTTTGCTGACATGCTCCTGCACTACGAAAGCAAAAGCCTCCTTTGTAATTACAGTGCACCAAAGTCAGCATGATTACATTTTAAGTAGACTCATAACCAGCCTGTTGACCTCTGTCATGCACAGCATTAGACAGCAATATTCTCTTTATATGTACAAGCACATTTCCTTGCCAGGAGAAGCTAGGAAAGCAGTACTGCAGTATGAGAAATGCTTCAGAAGCAACTTATTCCAGCAGAGGAAAAAAAAGCCAAAACAAAGAAAGAGGGAATGATGGATTTGAAGTCACTGGCCAGAAGAGATGAGACTGCAGCAGAGGCAGCAGAAAGCAAGAAAAAGAAAATTTAGCTATGCTGGTAAGGTACAACTAGAAATATGTAGATTTGCTATTGGTGGTTTATACAATATAATAGAATGTAATTTTCAAGTTTTGCCATGGGCTCAGTGAAACCCCAAAAGATTTTCCTCCCCTCTTTCTTTAAATCTTCCTGATAGCAAACATTCTTCATTTAAACAATGTGAGGAAACATTGAATAACACAGACAAATAAAAGGGAGCTAAAATCTGAGAGCCTAATTTATGTTTGAGTTCATAAGTTATAAGAACTATGGAAAACAGTAGAGGGAGGGAAGGAAGAGTCAGGAGTGGAGAGAGATTACTGGAAGACTGTTCACAAGGAATCTGGAATATTTTTAAACAGCTAGGGTTTGCCGTATGACTTTAATATCTCTGCTGTCTTGCCAATGTGTAAACAGATAATTATTTCAATGGCATCAGTGGAGTGTTTTTTAATCTTGTACACAGCAGATCAAACTCTATCAGAGTTAACTGAATTTACTCCAGTGCTGCAGTCCCCTACAACAATATTTAATTTTCCAGCATAAAAGCACACTTCAGCCATCACATCCAATTGTGCTGAGGGAAATGTTTATAAATTCACTGGCCACAAAACATTTACAGAAGAAGAAGGCAGAAAGAAAAGATATTATAACTGGCTATCAGGAAAATTCATCCCTGGACTCAAAGTAAGTCTGGCTTTCTTCAAGAAGCAAGCAAAGAATAACAGCTTTGTCTTTCAGCTAGTTTCAAGCGCAAAGAGACAGTCATCGTTTGGGGACGAGTCCAAGTCCTGATTCTGTAGTATCAGCATTAGCTTGTCACTCCTGATGGAATATAAACAGGTTAAAAGTACAAGCTATGTTAACAGCACAACTGAGAAACTCTTGGCACATACAATACGAACCTCTCCCTATCCAAGCACTTTGTAACCCTGTAGTTAAGAATCTAGCCATTATGTATCATCAGATTGAAGTGTTCAGGGCAGATAAGAAATGTGACATCTCTGCCTGCAAGACCTGGGATGTAGTACATTCAAGAGCTTTTCAGAAAGACCTCAGTGAAGGAGGACCTGTCAGGCTCCAGCAGAAGTGGATGCAGAGTACTCCTAATTAGTTTGACTGACTGCAAGCTTGGTTTCTGTTCTGGGGGTGAATCATTCCCTGAAGGGTCATGGTATAGCAAACCATTACACTTCTGCAACGTCCAGGCAGAGCACAGCAGCAATTAAGTGCATTACTACTCAAAGCATAACTGTATTCTGCAAAGGGCATAAGTTTGTGCAAACTGGATTTTTTTGCTAAGTGACCAACGGCACACTGGAAGGTTCACTCACTGTTCCCTTGCTCTGCCTCTCTGGGGAAACCCCTGTTTCTTCAGTTCACAATTTGTATCATGATGTCTGTTTATTCCAGAAAGGACTCCAGAAATTATTGTGCTGTTTCAAGGCAGAGGCCACAGATCCTAGGGATTTATTTGAAATGTAGTTAAAATACAGCCCATCTTGCTATCATACAGCAAGTGTGGCATAATTTGTTCACATTTCTACAGTAAACACCGTAACTTTGCCAGGCATCATATTCATAGAATCATAGAATCATAGCATGGTTTGGGTTGGAAGGGACCTTAAAGCTCATCCAGTTCCAACCCCCTGCCATGGGCAGCAACACCTTCTACTAGATCAGGTTGCTCCATTCAGCCTGGCTTTTTCATTACTTTATGCCTTTAAACATGAGCCAAGTGAAACCCATGTAAAGGAATTTTTATCTGTTTTTATTCCAATGTACAAAATGGAATTGGCCAATTCATATGCACTAAAACTATTTTTAACTAATTGAAATCATGTTTGCTTGGACAACTCTCAGTATGCAGGTGTCCTACATAATCCCCAAGTGCTACAAATAACTACGTCTGCAAAACCTTCTGTTGAAAACCCAAGCCAGCTTTGTCAGCATGAACAAGAATATGACTGGTAGTAGATTATTTCTCATCTGAAACAAGACAGGCACCAAGATCATGACTAGTACTCTCAAATTCAACCCATGGTCTGCTCCTCAAGTCTTGTGGCAACTCCGTTAACTCACTGACACTGTATGGCAGCCATCTAGTTTGTAAGAGAGTTAAGGTTTGCCAATTCATTCCAGCTGAGATGTTCAAAGAAGCCAACAGGAACAAGCACCCAGCCGGCACTCAAAACTGGGAAGTATGGAGAAGCCAGCTTCTCTGTCTTCATCAGCATATGTGAAAGCTTTCTCCTTGGACAAGCTCCCTTTCAATCTGCTTGCCTCAGAAGCAGAAAGCTCAATTTTGTAACACAAAGTGCTTAGATAAAAGACAAGAAATTATTATTAAGCAAAGAAAAGGAGGATGCAAGACCTCACTAGGATAATGAAAATCAGAGACTTTCTCCTTTTGGCTTCTTTTCCCTTCCTAGTTTTCCATCTCTGCAGGAGTCAGTGGGAGTTTTATCCTCACAAACCCTTTCTGTTCCCATCGACACTATCTTCACAATGACTGTCTGCCTCGTCATTTGTGTTTTCATTGTTTACAACAGGAAAGTCTTACACTGTTCGTCTCAATTACATTTTAAAATGAATTGTAAACATTCTGGTATTGGTTTTTTTGGACAAGAGCTTTGTTGGCTTGCAGGTGGCTGACTAAAAAAGACAAAATAGGGAGAAAAAGAGGAGGGATAAGGAATTAAAAGAACAAAACATGTAAATAAAAAACCTGGAAAACCTAAAAGAGCCATCTTTTACACTATGAGGGTTTTGGCTATGTTTATGATAAAGAATCATCACATCTCAGATAGGGTCACCTCTGAAACATAATGTTCCACCTAAGTAGTTGTAGACAGTTGCTTAATATAGACAAATTCTGATGATCCCTAACATTTTCACAATCACATTAATTAACTATCTTTTAATTAGTATAGAATCTCAGCTCCTAGCAATTACTTAATATGAACTGCGGCAGGGACATGTTAAGCATGTACTATACACTATCATAACACAGAATAATAATAGCAGACTTATGTTCCCATTACAGCTCCAGATTTTGCCATGCAATGATTTTCAATTAACAAGGTCAAAGAAAACTTGGTGTACATTGGCTGTTTCCAGCCAATGTTCCAAATTTTTAATCATTCCCATGATAGCAAGAGAGGTTTTATTAATCTCTGCTGGACTGTTCAGCTTTTCAAACACAACCAATTTCACAACCACAACACAAATTTTCACATTTATGCATTTCTTACTGACTTCATTACCTAGCAAAGTTAACCTCTATGAAAATTACACCCATTACACAGAAAAAAAGGAGACTGTGTTTGGCAGAGGACAGTTCAACATTGCTGCAGTTAGCTGTGCAATAAAACCTTTTTAGACCAAGTGTTCTTGATTATTATAATGTAGTGTCAAATCAGTATAATTGCCATGAAGTTCCCATCTATCCAAGGCATACAAAAATCTTTCATTTTCTTCCAGTGTGCTTTTTCTTTCCCTCCCTCCTTTTTTCTTATCTTTCCTCCTTCCTTCCTCCCTCTCTCTGTCCCTCCCTCCCTCTCTCCTTTCCTCCCTTCCTCTGCTTCTTCCTGTCTCTTTCCCTCCTTCCAGGTTGTCTTCCTTCCTTTCCTCCTTCCTTCCCTCTTTCCTACCTCGTTCCTTCCTGCCTGCCTTCCTACCTTCCTTTCTGCCTTCCTTCCCAGGTTCCTTCCTGCCTCACTCCCTTCCTCCTTTCCTCCCTTCTTCCTTCCCTCCCTCCTTTTGACCTTCCTCCCTCCCTTCCTCCTTACAACCTTCCAACCTTCCTCTCACCTGCACCTTAAAGGACATTTCTACCGATGAAATTCTGCTAGCTGCTCAGATTTCTTTTCCCCCCTCCTCTGCCAGTACAGCTTTATGACTATATATCAGACCCACAGTCCCGTCATGGTTGTAGAGGGACCAACATGAAGGTCTGGTGACTCTTCCCATATTTCACAACAAATAAATAAATACCTGTATGCAAACACCATGGTCAAAGTAACTGAACTAAGCTGCCAGTAGCATGAACACTGACAATCTGAAAGATTAGTTCAACCTGTCCATTATGTATTTCAACACACATTATAACAGTAAAGCATTCACATGGAGTGTTACCAGGACTAATGTTGTAACTGGATATTTGCAGAGGCTAGATGCTTAACCAGCCTGGTTTAGCATCCTTAAGCATCCTCCCTTGCTTAACAGCATGTTTTTACAAGCTAAATTCTCCGTATCACCTTTAGAGCACTGACTTTTCAGATTGTTTGACCTCCACAACATTATACAGCAGCTTAAAATATTTAGTAGGGAGAACATAAATGTATTACAGCTGGAAAGGAGAAGAGTGCAACAGAATACCTGAGAATGCTTGGAGACCCAATGGCGCAAGACATTAAGGACGCGATTTGTGGCCGCTCTGCGTATTATAAACTCTTTGTCGCACATGCGTTCAGAATTGTTAAATCCTGTGTGGGAAAAGCACGCATTAAAGTTAATGGAGGTAGAAAAAATTCAAATACAGTATGAGCAACACTGGTAAACTGAAATATTTATGTGCAATAAAAGGAAAGATGCCTATATAGACTTACAAATATGACCATTTGGACTGCTGAAATTCTGCAATATCTGTAGAATACAGCTTTGCACATCATAACTAACACAGACACCTCCCTGAGTCAGCATTCAGTTTTAGAAACATGAAGAATATTTGTGTGCATCATTGACATCAAGGTCTCCCTTCAGTATAGGAGAGAATAACAGTAAAAAACAGGACAAGCCCAAAAATGTACAGGGTCTGTCATCAAGCAGATGACAGAAGGAAAGTGAATAGGATTTAGAAAGCGGAAAGAGGTAAATTTCAGAAGGTAAAGAAATAAGGGAGGGTAGCAGTTTAAACAGACAAGAGAAGAATGTCAGCACAAGAAATGCTTCTTGTAGTAGCAGTATTACACAGTCAACAGACACTGTTCAAATAAGCTTTTTTTTTCTTTTTTAGCACTGAGTGACAACGAAGTGAGAAGGTATGCAGAGAACACATTTACAACCCCAGCTGCCTGAAAACAGTTGGCAACTGCAACATTTCTCTACACATCTTGTAAATACAACTTTTTTTTTTTACTCTACAATATTAACTTACATTTTTAAAAACAAGCAAGAAAGTTTTTTCCTACATTCACATTATTGCTTCTTTCTCATCTTTCTGCTCTAGCTCTATCACAGATACCATCTGTATGATAAAGTAATTATTACATTATTTTAAGAATAATAAAATTATTTTATAAAATCACCAATTAAAAAAAAATGTTAACTGTCGTGGTTTAAAACCAGGCAGAGCTCCTTCACTCACTGTCCCCCTCCCTCTTCTTGCCCTCCCCCCTACTCCCGAAGGGACGGAGAAGAGAATAAAAAAGAATGCAACTCCCACGGGTTGAGATAAGAACAGTTCTGTAACTAAGGTATAACACAAATCACTACTGCTACCACCAATAATAACAATGATAAGGGAAATAACAAGGGAAGAGAATACAACACCTCACCACCAGCCGACCGATAACTTGCCCCCCCAGCCCAACCAAGCACTGACCCATACCTCCTCCAACCCTGCAGACTCCCAGCCCTTCCCACTAGCTCCCAGTTAGATCCTGGGCATGATGTGCTGTGGTATGGAATACCTCTTTGGTCAGTTTGGGCCAGGTGTCCTGTCTCTGCTTCCTCCTGGCTTCCCCTCCTCCCTGGCAGAGCATGGGGCTCACAAAGTCCTTGGCCAAACCAAAACATCATTGTTACCAGCTCTGTTCCCAAAACACAGCACTGCACCAGCTACCAAGAAGGAGAAAAATGACTGCTACTGCTGAATCCAGGACAAAGACATATTTTAGAAGTCTACAATTTTCGAAGTTTCTGCTAGATTTGATCTTACGTTGTGCTGCTTTCCATTTCACTCAGTGCACAGTCCAAGGAACAGCTGGAAACACCCTTCTATTTTACCAGTACTTTACTATTTTTTTTGGCATAAAAGCTGTTCAAAAACCTGCCCATTATTATGGATGGCAAAAGCAGATAGAACTTCTATTTATTCTGTGAAAAACTCATTGGAGGTATTCTTAGAGTCTAGTAGCAGTTTTGCTCCATTTTTATTAATGGCAGTCCAAAAAACCCAAATTGTTTCTCTATATTTTTTGAATGATCATCAGGAAAACAAAAGTTTAACTGTATTTTTACATTTTTTACTGCAGATTGGACCCCAAACTCCACATATATTTTCTGCTTCATGGAAGCTTTTTAACCTATGGCATATTACACTGTCGGTATCTAAAATTCAGTATCAAAGGAAGTTTCATATTAAAACATCTTCTGGAGTTTCACTGCCCATCAACAGCAAGGTAAACAAAATCTCTGAGGCTTAAGTTAACATAGGCAACGTTTTGTGTGTTAATTTTCTATGCCTTCCACAGTTAATCTCTCACAGAAGCAATTCGGCATACCTATTATAAACCTTTCAATTAGCCACTTAATTGCAGCAATGAAAGTCACAATGAAAATTACATATTAAAGCAGTGGAGTTTTTATCAAAGTAACATTAAGGAAAAGGAGTTTCAAGCTGGAAGGAAAACAAAAGAAAGCCTACAGAGACAGTTTTCAGTTAGCTGCAAAAAGAGTAAAAAGAGCAAGAAAGGAAAAAAGGAAAACCTCCAGAGATCACTTCAGCAAACATCTGTACTCCTCAAAATTTTTAAGCGGTAATTAGCTTGTTGTGGAGAACAATCAACATGTTCACTCAGATCCACATTGTCAGTATGTAATGTTGATGTCTCAAACCTGTAAATGGAGATCTCCAGTTTTGCAAGAAAAGAATCATAGAATAACAGGTTGGAAAGGATCATCTGGTCCAACCGTTTTTGGCAAAAACACGGTCTAGACAAGATGGCAGTTCTCTGTCCAGCTGAATCTTAAAAATATCCAACACTGGGGAACCTGCTGTGTTGCTCAGGAGATTATTCCAATGTCTGATTGTTCTCCTTGTGAAGATTTTTCCTCTTGTGTCCAACCTGAATCTCCCCAGGAGTAACTGGCGCCCATCACCTCTCCTCTTTCCATGTGACTCTGTAAAAGAGTGTCTCCATCTTCTTTGTAGCCACCCTTTAAATACTGAAACACGGTGATAAAGTCTCCTCTGAGCCTCCTTTTGTCAAGGCTGAGCAAAACAATTTCTCTCAACCTTTCCTAATATGGCTCCTTGGTCCTTCTGTAATTTTTGTGGCCTTTCTGTGGACCATCTCCATCTCATCCACATCTTTTTTGTATAGCAGGGACTAAAACTGAGCCTGGTATTCCAGGTGTGGCCTGAGAAGCATTGAGTAGAGTGGGATAATGTCATCTTTATCTCTGCTGCTGATGCCCTTGTTGATGTTCCCCAGCATTCTATTGGCTCTCTTTGCCACAGCTGCACACTGTTCACTCCTGTTAAGTTTGTTGTCAACCAGGAGCTCCAGGTCCTTTTCCACAGAGATGCTCTCAGCTAGGCAGATCCCAGCCTTTGCTGCAGTCCTGAAGTATGTTTCCCCAGGTGCCAAGAATTTACACGTGTCCTTGATGAACAAGAATTTGGGTTCTTACTACCCCACTCTTCCAGCCCATCCAAGTCATTCTGCAGGGTGGCTTTTCTTTCCAATGTCTCCACTTCCCCACTCAGTTTGGTACTGTCAGCAGACTTGGTCAGGTTACACTTGATCCCGTCTTCCAGATGATTTATGAAGATACTGAACAACAGTGAGCCCAATATTGATCCTTGGGGGACTCCACTAGTGATAGGCTGCCAGTTTGAAAAGGACCTATTTGCCACCATCCTCTGCTGCAGCGTATCAGACAGTTCCTCACCCAGCTCATCGACCACATATTTAGACCATGACATTTCTCTAGGAAGAGGCTGAACACAGACACACAAGTGAATTTAACTCCAAGTGGGTGATTCATTGTACATCTTCAGGTACACGACTTTAAATAAATAACTGAATTCGTGAAATAATTTTTTTTTTCAAAATAAAACTGCAAATCTTTTAACTTCATTTTGACTTTGTTTTTAATACCAAACAACTCAGATAGCCAGGATGTGTTTTCTTCTTTCTTCACAAAAAAACTCATAGAATTTATTATTCTTTACAGGAACAAAAAAGAATCCAAAAGTCCTGAGGAAACACTCACCGTCTAAGACTTAAATCTGCAGGTTGATTCTGAAGAAAATCTCATAGAAATGGATTGGATTGCAATAACCAATATTCTCTGTATACTGGCTCAGAGTCCTTCCATTTGGATGTCTGGATTTGCCTCAAGGTTTTTCCTCAGGACTTGTTTCCAGTAACAGCAGACCTCAGGCAGGCTCCAGACTGAGCAGCTCTGACAGCAGCTCAGCAGATTTAGGCCTTAAACCAGAGCCAGTAATGCTAGAGAATACATGGAGTCTTTGGACCTTCTTGAGGCAACTGAGGCTGGAGCAGGACAAATGTAATGGGACTTGTAATGCTCAGAAAGAAATGCATCTGTCTCTCTTCCTCTTTTACAATCTACCATGCTATTTCCAAGCAGATCATAGAATCATTTAGGTTGGAAAAGACCTTTAAAGTCATTAAGTCCAACTGTTACCCCCAGGATTGCCAAGTCCACCACTAAACCATGTCACTAAGGGCCTTATTGACATGGTTTTCAACACTCTGCAGCCATGGAAGAAGGAACATGGATCAGTTCAGGACAAAGGGATTGACCATACTCCAACTTCAAAAATTGGTGACACTCTTCTAGGCAAGGCTGGAGATGCACTACAAGAGATGAAGATGAAGAACTACCCTTCATGAAGACAGAGGTGTAGAAGTCATCATTGACAGGTGCAGGGGAGATTTAGGTGGGATATAAGGAAGGAAATCTTCACTGTGGGAGCACTGAGGTCTTGGCACAGGTTGCTCAGAGAAGCTGTGGCTGCCCCATCCCTCACAGTGTTCACGGCCAGGCTGGACAGAGCTTGGAGCAACCTGGTCTAGTGAAAGGTGTCCCTGTTCATGGCAGGGGGCTGGAAATGGGTGGTCTTAAGGTCCTTTCCAAGCTAAGACATTCTATGATTCTATAATCCAGGTTTACCACCAGAAGACATTGCGAAATGTGAACCTGTGGCATGGTGGTGCTTAGAATGCAGCTGTTAAGCATTTCAGTCCTGAGCTGACTTGTAACTGAAGCCAGAGCCAGGACTGTCAGCATGAGGTAGATATTGTTACCATCCTATCATTAATATGCCCAACAGGCACAGATTAATTAGATTCATCTAAAAATTAGAAGTTGTCTAATAACTGCTACTATTCATTAGATAAGCTTAACTGGATTTATACACATTAATTTTTCATTAAAATTATAGACAATAGACCCCATTATTTTATTTATTCACTTATACATCATAAGACTCTGTAAGTGACACATACAT